TGCACAAACAGTAGGTAAAAGGGATTCAAATTGCTAAACTAGGTGATATGTGAAGTGAGCAAGTAAACACTTTATTTAGTAAAACACTAAATAGCTAAAAGCTAATAAACTTGTGGGCCTCACTTGTGCCACGGTGATGCGGGCTGTAGTTCTCCATGCAGTGTCCATGTAATCTTGTAATTTGCCTTTCTCCTCACAGTCAGTTCTTAATCTCCATAATTTCACAATGGTTACAATTATCAGTTTTTACTCTTACAGTTGGTTTTTACCTTATAATGAGTCATCGTTTACACTTTTATTTTTTAATCAGTCAGGCAATAGAAATTTATTATTAATAACATATTAATGCTCTGTTGTATAATTAATTACAGGAAAAGTCATAATTTAGATCATAGTTGTAAAAAATGCTGCCCATTATAAAATCACTGCTTATCAATGAAAAAGAAGAGTTTCTAATCTTAAGAGTGTACATCTTCAACAATTTAAATCTTCTAAACTAATACTGAATGCATTTCGTCTGTTTATAAGAGCGGTACAATTTGCTGGCCCCCTTAGTTCTGACATAGGAGCTGTGTAAACTCGTTTCCCGGAAACTATTTTTTAAGATGAGCTCCAAACCACCACTGAGTAGTAGAGTTGTCTGCCTGTGTGCAGCGGAACTTTTGATTAATATTACGATAAGAGGCAAAGTTGTGCTCCTTGTTTACGGCTCCAACTGATGCTTTGAACTGGCAGTGATGTGAACTGCTGACAGTATGCACTATCCAAGTGTTCTTTTTCTGCCAAAACGGTACCTTGAGGTTTGTGCCATTGTGCCCTCGGATATCCACATATTCTACCCTCTTACACTTGCCAGCACCAAGGAAATCGACGATGTTGAAGTCTTTGAAGTTACCACGGAGGTAGTCTCTAAAATCGATGCCGTAAGTTGGATAGCTGCATGTTGCTCGCCAGTGGGTGGAGTGGACCTGCAAAGATCTCATTCTCTCCAGACTTAACCGGTAACGATCCCAGCTGGGGGAGTTCTCGTTTTCTGGGGCATTGACCTGAAGAGGGGCGTTTTGAAAAGCAGAAATAAGGCNGGGCTGTGTATCGCTATGTAGGGCTATGTATGGCTATGTACGGCTCTGTAGGGTTATGTATAGCTATGTAGGGCTATGTAGGGCTATGTAGAGCTAGTACGGCAATGTAGAGCTATTTATGGCTATGTAGGGCTGTGTACGGCTATTTAGGGTTGTGTATGGCTATGTAGGGCTTTGTAGGGCTATGTATGGCTATGTATGGCTGTGTAGGGTTATGTAGGGCTATGTAAGGCTATGTAGGGCCATGTAGGTTTATGTATTGCTATATATAGATTTGTAGGGCTATATATTAACTAACGTCAAACCATTATATGATGCTTACACCACGTACTTACCAGGTAAAGTAGTGCCTAGTCCCAATGCGACATCTTCCCAGGCCTTTCTGTCAATGCATCTTGGTGACGTATTCGAGGTGAAACTCGCTCAGCTAGTGTGACTTAAAACGCATAGACCGCGCGGAATAATTAAACCTAGCGACTTGGCGAGGAAAAATAGGAGGAAACTATTTCTTACTTGCGGTCGATGTTTTTTTTCAAGGTAGTTCATGGTTACTAATAAAAGGCAACGATAAAGTTTCTTTCAGCGATCGCCGGCTAATTTGGCTGGTATAAGGTCTTCAACTAGAATTAAGGTTTGTATTTTTAATGTTCAAAACCTAATACACCAATTTAGATATGTTAAAATTCATTCCTGGCTTCGAAAATCGGGGAAACAATAAAAAAAAAAAGAAATGTATCATTCATTCCTGTTTTTGCAAGGTGATTTCTTTTGTTATCCGAGGCTGGAAGCCAAGAATGAATTTTAACACATTTTTAATTTAAAATATCGAAATGTTTTGGTCTATTCTTGCAAATGCCTATACCTCTAAAAGATGTTTAAAAAAAGTCTCAAATAATTCATAAAGAAATAATGTCAAAAGAAGTTAGTGTTTAATGGGCATCCTAAAATTTAATGCAAGATGAGTGAGTTTTTAGCTCCGATCTTAGTTCCCGTTTTCTCATACACCCACTATCGTCGACTGTTTCGAGATGAATAAACATTTGAAGCTCCATTCAGTAATCAAATTCAAAATGTAAAATCCTCTTTACAATCGATGGTCTTCCTTTATCCTTTCCTGCTAATACTCATTGCTTGTTTGGGTCGTGGGGGTTCTTAGAGTGTATCCTCCCAACCCACCCCTGCAGGGTTGCAAAATCTCGCGTGAGTTACACGGAACGAATTCAGCGACAGCCTGCTCGTTGGCTAAAGTGAATGGATATTACCCCTTTCAGTTCTTTCAAAGATGAAAGAAATAGAAATCACACAAAAGAAATACAATTTCGTCTTGTAAAATAGTTAAAACTATAAATAGTTCCNTGTTTTTGCAAGGTGATTTCTTTTGTTATCCGAGGCTGGAAGCCAAGAATGAATTTTAACACATTTTTAATTTAAAATATCGAAATGTTTTGGTCTATTCTTGCAAATGCCTATACCTCTAAAAGATGTTTAAAAAAAGTCTCAAATAATTCATAAAGAAATAATGTCAAAAGAAGTTAGTGTTTAATGGGCATCCTAAAATTTAATGCAAGATGAGTGAGTTTTTAGCTCCGATCTTAGTTCCCGTTTTCTCATACACCCACTATCGTCGACTGTTTCGAGATGAATAAACATTTGAAGCTCCATTCAGTAATCAAATTCAAAATGTAAAATCCTCTTTACAATCGATGGTCTTCCTTTATCCTTTCCTGCTAATACTCATTGCTTGTTTGGGTCGTGGGGGTTCTTAGAGTGTATCCTCCCAACCCACCCCTGCAGGGTTGCAAAATCTCGCGTGAGTTACACGGAACGAATTCAGCGACAGCCTGCTCGTTGGCTAAAGTGAATGGATATTACCCCTTTCAGTTCTTTCAAAGATGAAAGAAATAGAAATCACACAAAAGAAATACAATTTCGTCTTGTAAAATAGTTAAAACTATAAATAGTTCCACTCAAAAAGTTCTGCCAAAGAACTTTCGTTCATTGAAACGAAAGCAGAAAAGAATTTAAACCACAGATTTAAAAGTTAGTAAGGCTGTTTTTAAAAAACCTTTTTTAAATTTTCCCAAGACTGACCAAACCGATTTTCTCACGAATAAAATGATAACAAAAGGGAAAGCACTGTTTTATCAAATTCTCTCTACTAATACTTTCACGAAATATATGGAGAATTTGTATGTGAACAACACAAGGGATTAAAGAGGTAAGGCAAGGAGACAGTTCAGTGTATACTTAATTTACCCTAGAAATGTCATTTCAGAACAGTAATAGCTTGGATCCGTAACTTTGAGTCACCTTGCTTACTGATCTGTTGTGTGCCTTTTTTAAAGTTTCCCAAGCCCGTTAAGAATAAAGGACCCAAGAAAGGGCACTAAACCCGGTGGAGTACCCCCTATAATGGCCTATACGGGGAGGCTCCGCCCGAGATGGTTATATGAAAGGTATATGAAAGGGTAGGGATTTCACTAGCTGACTGCGTACATAAAAGTGTAGGAAAATCTGTCATTTCGGTACGTAAAATGATCTAAAAAGGCGGACAAGAGGATTAATGGCTCTGAAAAAGTCGAGAAAGTTTCCCGGTTATCTTTTCTTCATTATCTCAAAAAACTCATTAATAGTTCATAAAGAAAAAACAAACGAAAGTAATGTTTAATGAGTGTTTTTATATCGATAAAGACAAGGCTAAACTTTACGTCCAATTTTTAGACCAAAATTTTTGAAGTATTTAAACCTGATAATACACTCCTGCTCGTTTTTTGAACACTATTTAAAACATAGTGCACAAACAGTAGGTACGGTAAATGGAATTCAAATTGCTAAACTAGGTATATGAAGTGAGCAAGTAAACACTTTATTTAGTAAAACACTAAATAGCTAAAAGCTAATAAACTTGTGGGCCTCACTTGTGCCACGGTGATGCGGGCTGTAGTTCTCCATGTAATCTTGTAATTTGCCTTTCTCCTCACAGTCAGTTCTTAATATCCATAATTTCACAATGGTTACAATTATCAGTTTTTACTCTTACAGTTGGTTTTTACCTTATAATGAGTCATCGTTTACACTTTTATTTTTTAATCGGTCAGGCAATTGTTAATAATATATTAATGCTCTGTTGTATTAAGGTTTGAGAAATGAATGATTAACGGCAAAGCGGGGGCAAAGCGAAGCTGGCACAGCTTGGCCAAAGGGTAGCAGGTAATACTACCCTCGACTTTTGTAGAAGAAAAATGTTTTTGTTTCACACCTTATCCAGGTTGGGTTGTTCTTTTCGAAATATCTCATTGAGAATGTAGATAATACCATTTCCGAACTTCTAGATTTCAAACGTTTGTGGGAGAGGATGCCCCCAGACCACTCTCCCCCAACAAACTCCCGTCTCCGGCGTGAGTTTTCATGCCCCCACCACCCCCAGTTGAAATCGCGCTCCGCCGTACATGTAAATTTCCGTTATAAGATAGAAAAAGCTCAATAAGCTGTTTTAAAAGGAGACCATTTTCCGTTTAATTGCCCATTCCTATTTCACGCAGATACAAGGCGAACCTTTTCAGAGCCACCCCGGGAGTTTTTCAAATATTATTAGAAAAACCTGCCATTTTGACCCCGTTTTAGTGAGAAATGTTTAACCGTTAATATTCCATGATGAGTCAAGGGATGAAAACCAAAAAAACTCTCTAACAATTATACACAGAGAGGTCAATCAAGCAATGAAAAATGCTGCCTTCAACTATAAAATCACTGCTTATCAATGAAAAAGAAGAGTTTCTAATCTTAAGAGTGTACATCTTCAACAATTTAAATCTTCTAAACTAATACTGAATGCATTTCGTCTGTTTATAAGAGCGGTACAATTTGCAGGCCCCCTTAGTTCTGACAAAGGTACTGTGTAAACTCGTTTCCCGGAAACTATTTTTTAAGATGAGCTCCAAACCACCACTGAGTAGTAGAGTGGTCTGCCTGTGTGCAGCGGAACTTTTGATTAATATTACGATAAGAGGCAAAGTTGTGCTCCTTGTTTACCGCTCCAACTGATGCTTTGAACTCGCAGTGATGTGAACTGCTGACAGTATGCACTATCCAAGTGTTCTTTTTCTGCCAAAACGGTACCTTGAGGTTTGTGCCACTGTGCCCTCGAATATCCACATATTCTACCCTCTTACACTCGCCAGCACCAAGGAAATCGAAGATGTTGAAGTCTTTAAAGTTACCACGGAGGTAGTCTCTAAAATCGATGCCGTAAGTCGGATAGCTGCATGTTGCTCGCCAGTGGGTGGAGTGGACCTGCAAAGATTTCATACGCTCCAGACTTAACCGGTAACGATCCCAGTTGGGGGAGTTCTCGTTTTCTGGGGCATTGGCCTGAAGAGGGGCGTTTTGAAAAGCAGAAATAAGGCGATTTTCTCTACTCCAAGACATGACTAGGGTCCATGCAATACCGGGCTCTGATTTTAGATCACAGTAGGCTGGGAAACTGTTTCCGTCGTTATCATAGATCTTATGAATGCTATCTTTGTAGAAACCTTGCTGTCCATATTCGACGTAGGATGTCGGAGGGAATCTACCCTGAAAGAGACAAAATAGGCGACTATGCATTTTGTTTGCACCAATTTCCACTAGTGGGAACTTCAATCCCAGCTCTTTTCTGTACTACCAGTTCACCAATCTATAGTCTCCATGACAGCCGTTTTGTCTCGTCACGCAACGCTTAAGCTACGGAGAAGACTAGTCTTATCTAAGGGCGCTTTCCATTTGTCAGAACTGACTGGCCAGATCATTCCCGCCGTAACGAGAATTTCACTTTTAATTAGAACTATCCAGCCAGGTCACAGGCGGCCCAAGATCGGTGCATAAATTACCGCGAGTTTCGATACTGTTTTGCATATTACGATATTATGTAAGACGCGTCTTATTTTTCCTCGTATAAATGGACCTGTAGTTCTTACGTGAACGCGAACATTTCATATACGCTCATCCAACTGGATAATTCCAGGAGCCCATAAGTAGCTATCTCAGGGTAGGAAGATCCATGTTTTGTATTTGGATCCCCTGAGTCCATGTTCGCCTTCACCACGCAACACGTAGTCATCGAGGTTCCTGAACGCACGTCAGATTGCCAGAACCAAACACTATCCAAAAAATTTCCCACAAAAACACATCGCAATATGACAAGGGGAAGAGATAAGAGACTGACCCGGCCTTAAGAATTTGGCGTTTTCATGGTGAATCGGTGCGCGGTTCTATGATGCGGGAGAGATTTGTGAGTTGAGACTGCACAGAGTCACCTGCCTTGCTTCGCCTTACGTAAGAAAACAACACCGAAAAAACAACGAGCAGCAAAACCGTATAAAATGGCCATGAATTGAGCCCACGTTACACAGAAAAAGCAACAACAGACCCAAATTTACGTAAGTACAATTTATTGCCCCCGCAGGGATTTCGCCCAGAAGGCGAAATCCCGAGGAGACACCCTATTAACTCGCGCGTATATTAAGGAAAGTACTTACAGCTGAAATATACAGTCATACAGTCAATATAGAAAAAATCTCGATTTGTTTGAACAGCGTCCTCGGAGACCCAGGGGCATGCAGTCAGTCGGCCGGGTTAAAAGGCGCGACGAAAGTTTTCAAGCTGTGCTTGAAAACTTTTTTCGCGCCTTTTCTCCCGGCCCGACTGACCGCCCCTGGGTCTCCGAGGATGCTTGAACAGGGGCCGTGAGGAATCGGTAGGTAATGATGACGTTTCTATTGTTTGCGCCCGCGAGTACGAAATGGTTAGGATGACGTGAAACACAAAAAATCCCGAAGGAACAGCTTACAATAGGCAGATTTTGTGACATTAATTGCGCAGTCATACTTCGATACTCTTTTGCGTTACGTGTTATCTGTGACACTGTCTGTCGAGCAGTTGTTATGAAAGTTATGGACCAAAAGACACTCGTTAAGCGCAGATGAAGTTATAAGGTGCGTAGAACAGGGTATATTTTAACACTAAGTGAGTTTGCCAGACACGAGTTCGCAAATCTTGATTGAAAACCTTCAGCTGAACCTTGCCAGACACTCTTTCTCTCTGTTTGACCGGAATAAGACTTGGCCCAAAACAAGCAAGATGAGTGAATGATTCAACGGCTAGTTTATCACTAGCAGAACGATGGACGATATACAGAAATAAATTCGCCGATCATCAAATTCTGTGCTGACTTATTCCCTGCTCACAGATGTCCTTCCGCTATAAAGTTTAAAATAAGACTAGAATTGATCAAACGTCCTTTTAATTTCTAAGGCTTACTTTCCGGCAAATGAAATGAACTAAATGTAAAAAGTGAAAAAGAAATAGCGAAAAATTAAACTTCTAATTAAATCTTTTCTTATGGTTTAGAATAAACTATTCTCGAAACTGAGAATGTTTTCATCAAAGCTGTGTAAATCGAACCGAAACTGTGCATGGAACCTTGCGTTTATTTCCTGTATTTATCTCACCTATTTTATGGAATATGTGTGAACATCTTCATTATGAATCGGTATATTTCAAAGAGCTACACAAGGAGCAAGAATAGTCTATACAGGGCGAGGGCAGCTGTAGTGTCACCTATTACTAGTTTCTATATTTATTTCCATATTTCTACAGTTTAACAACTATATTGAATTTCTCATAGTTTTTAAATCGTTCGTAATATGCAAAACAGTATCGAAACTCGCGGTAATTTTTGAACCGATCTTGGGCCGCCTGTGGCCAGATCAGTCAAATCCTAAATACCATGCACGAAGGAGATGGTTTTTCAGTTAAAATTCTTGGGAAATGCCTATTTCATGGTCAAAATGACTGTTCCATCCATGGTCTGGCCGGCCAGTTCTGACTTTTGAAGCACCTTATATTTATTAAGACTCATCTCATTTAAGAGATGAGCGATTTATTGATGTTTGCCTTTCTGAAAATAGTCTACTATCGTCTGCCCCTGTAGCAAAATAAATCACTGTTTACTTTAATTTATAATATCATAGGTGACGAATTACTCCTTAATTTTGGCGCGAAATTTTAGTGTTAATATGTAATTTCACGTGTGAAATTACTAAATTGCCATGGCAAGCTGCCGTACGTCTCCGTTTCAAGATGGCGACAAAGTTTTAAAATGTCATGAATGAAGATGTCAGGGCATAAAAAGACGCTTTAGAAAACCTGAA